GTGCAGCTGTTGAGGGTCGCGCGGCCCGCTGGCCCCGCAACTGCGGGGCCGAGGCCTGGCGGCGAGGTGCCCTCGCGCCCTCTTCGTCGCCGGCTTCGCCGCCGTCGTGGTCGTCGTGGCGGCCGCCACCGCCCCGAGACGCCGCGAATGAGGATGAGGATGAGGAGGAGGAGGAGGAGGAGAAGGAGGAGGAGAAGTAGGAGGAGGAGGAGGAGGAGGAGGAGGAGGAGGAGGAGGAGGAGGAGGAGGAGGAGGGGGCTCGAGGCTCGAGTATCGAGATGTTCGGCCGCTCCTGCGCCTCCGCGAGGCTCCCCTCGTGGCCTCGGCGGGCTTCCCCTCGGCACTCTGGCCAGGACGCGCCCTGGGCGAGGCCCGGGCCCTCCCGGCCCAGGCCCGCTCGAGCCGTGCTCTCCCCATCGCCTCCCGTGGCCGCTCCTCCCTCGCCCCCGCGCTGCTCGCCAGAGGCGAAGGGACCACTGCCACCAGCTGGGGGGGCTCCTCCTCCTCCTCCTCCTCCTCCTCCTCCTCCTCCTCCTCCTCCTCTCCTCGTCCTTCCTCCTCCTCCTCCTCCTCCTTTCCTCCTCCTTCTCCTCCGGCTCCTCCTCCTCCTCCTCCTCCTCCTCCTCCTCCTCTTCCTCCGGCTTCTCCTCCTCCTCCTCCTCCTCCTCCTCCGCCTTCTCCTCCTTGCCGCTCCCACCCCTGAGCTGTTGGCACCCCGCTCCGGGCGCTCCCCCGAGCGTGCCCGGAACGGAGAGCCACCAGCTCGAGGGGGTGGCATTTGCACATGGTAGCGGAGTTCTACGGAGTTCTGGTAGTGGTGGTTCTTCTTGCATCAACTGTGCAGGCGCAGTTCGCTGCCTCGCAGCTCACAGCTGTGCAACCCGCCACGGCGAGGGACCTCGTGTCACCTGCGGGCCAGGAAGACCGCACCCTAAGAAACCCTCGGGGGATTCTCATCCGCACGACTGACGGGGAGGATGGCCCCACGACGGGCCCTTTTGGTAGTTTTTGGTTTCTGGGGCCCTCACGGGGCCCCGGGGCCGTCAGACAATTTCTCGGGATGAAAGAATGGCCCCTGGGAAAGTGGTTCCAGACCTTGGGGGGTCCACGTTTCGAGGGTTGCTCGGGTGCCCCTGGCCCAAGGTGCCCCCAGCTTCCGCTCAACTCTGGAGCCGCTGGGGCCCTCTGGGCCTTGCGAGGGGTGCTCTGGAGGCAGCGGGATGCCTCCTTGGAAACCCCGGGGGCACCTCTAGCAACACCATTCGATCGCTTGCGGGGAACCACCACGACGTCGGAGTCCTGGGCGAGCAGGAGGACTCGGCCACGCGCAGAGGGGTGGAGGGGGAGGGGGGAAGGCTTCTGAGAGGGAGGCTGGTTCTCAGGAGGCGCGGGCCTCATCTGTGGAGAGGGCCAGCGCCTTCCACGAGGCAGCCTTCTTCGAAGGAGCCTCCCCCCCTTCCCCTACCACTTGGGCGCGCCGCCAAGGCAAGAGCTGGCACCGCTTCCCTGGCGGAAGGCCGGCCGAAGTCAGGCGAGGGGCTCTGCCAATCCGCGACACGCTGTGAGAGAGCTCCCCCCTCCTCCTCCTCCTCCTCCTCCTCCTCCTCCTCCTCCCTCCTCCTCCTCCCCCTCGTCCTCCTACTTCTCCTCCTCCTCCTCTCCTCCTCCTCCTCCTCCTCCTCCTCCTCCCTCCTCCTCCTCCTCCTCCTCCTCCTCCTCCTCCTCCTCCTCCTCGTCCTCCTCCTCCTCCTCCTCCTCCTCCTCCTCCTCCGCCCCGCGGTGGCGCGAAAGGTGCAGGCCTGTTTGGGTGCAGGTCACCACCCGCCAAACTTCCTCAACCCAACCCGAAGGCCCAACTTGTCTAGGTCTCCTAGATGAGGCCCGAGTATATGGGATCGGAGGATCGCGCCGCGTCGCCGATGCATCGGCGATGCGGCTCGATGCGGAGCCTGATGTTCTCCACGTTGGCGTCGCCGATGCATCGAAGATGTTGCCGAAGCATCGCCGATGCTTCGGCGATGTATCGCCGATGTATCGGCGATGCAGCGCGATCCTCCGACCCCATCTATTGCGACTCCATCTAGGAGGCCTCTAACTTGGCCCTCCATTCCCGGTGTGGGGGGGGGTGCGTCGGGGAACACTGAGAAAGCACACGTGTGGAACCCGTGCCCCCCCCCCACCCGAAGTTCGGAACCTCGTGTTGGGTTGGAGTGGTCTGAGAGGTAGGCAGTACGGTGGGGGCAGTCGTTCAGGAACGTGCTCAGGAGGCTTCATAGCGTGTACTGTTTCCTTATATCATGGGGGCGGCGGTGATATCCATGGCCACGCCCCAATCGGTGCTCTACTGGCTTCCAGACCGGCGGCCTGCACGCCTACCTGGCGGCCAACGAGCAGGCCGACGCCTTCGAGGCGCTCAGCAGCAGGACAGAGCCAAGCGCTGCGGCGGACTTGGCTGGGCCCGACCGAAGGACTGGCAGTCCTCAGCCCAGCCAGGGGCCCATGTGGAATCGTGGGTACCCAATTCAAGTTGACGAGGCTACGGGCGAGGGCGTGAGACCCCCTGAGGTTCGGAGCCCCAAGGCGGCGAGCAGCCGCCCGCCTTGCGGCCGCGCGGCCGCCGCGGCAGCCGCGAAGCCTGCGGCCCAGCCCCAGCCTGGACGACCGCAGGCCAAGCCCCTTCAGCTGGCCAAGCTGATCAGGCCTGCGGGAGCGAAGCGAGCCAGCTTCGTCACGCTGAACGGCTCGACCTGGTCAGCGACGCAGGTGGAGCTGGAGCGGATCCAGGACGATGGAGGAGGCGACGACGTCATCCTGGTGCAGGAGACGCGCTTCACCTCCAGCCAGAAGGTGACCGACGCCTGCAGCTGGGCCAGGCGCAACGGCTCCATCGCCGCCTTCGGCAGCGTCCACAGCACGGGGCAGGCGGCGCAGGCGGTCTCGGCGCGAGTCGGGGTGCTGGCTTCAACGACCAGGGGCGTGGCGGCGATCGACCACGACTGGCACCAGCACAGTGCCCGCATCCTGGCCCGACGGGTGGCCTTTGGCGATCTCGTGGTCACGGTGGTCAGCGCCTACCTCGTGCACTCGACCAGGATGGCAGGCCTCAACCTGGAGCTGCTGTCGGACCTCCAGGAGTTCCTGCTCAGCCTCCACGAGCCGTTCATAGTGGGGGCCGACTGGAATATGGGCCCCAGCGTCCTCGCCGCCTCTTGGTGGCCACGGGCTGTGGGCGGAGTGGTGGTAGCGCCCACGACCTTCACCTGCGGCGACCAGATCTACGACTTCTTCGTGGTCTCCACGGCGCTCGCTGGCCTCAGCCCGAAGGTGGAGGTCATCAAGCCCACAACCCTACACCCGCACGCGCCAGTGCGGCTCACTTTCAGCGAGCTGGGCAGCAACGCCATGATCTGGGTCCTCAAGACCCCCAGGTTCTTTGACGTGGGCTCGGAGGTCTCGGCTGAGCAGCGCGAGAAATCCCTGCAGGCGGCGACCCAGATCAGCTGGTCAGCCCCCCTCACCGACAGCGACGGCACGCCCGACACGGCGATCAAGGAGTTCTTCGAGGCCGCGGAGCTCCACCTGATCGACCAGTTCGGCATCTCCGAGGGTGAGAGGTACCAGGGCAGGGCCAAAGGACCCCGCACCGTCAGGAAGAAACAGGCGGACCTGCAGCGCACGGAGGCTGTCAGGAAGCTCAGCCCCCTCACCAAGTGCTGGCTCTGCCTCGGGAGGATCGCCAGGCAGCTAAGTGCGGCTGCTGCGGTCTGTTCACCCCCTGTGGGGCACGTGGGCTACATGAAGCACCTGGTGCAGGTGGCCAAGAGCTTGGGGCCCAAGTTCGAGCAGGCGGGCTGCGCCATGTTCGAAGGCACGAAGCTTGACTCGCTGATCGAAGTGATCCAGGAGCCCACTGAGCAAGGGCAGGCCTTCCTGCAGGTGACCGAGAGCACGACGGCGAGACACTGCAAAGAAGACGCCAAGGCGGCCAGGCAGCGCTGGAAGGACTTCGTGGACCAGGCCTTGGCTAAGGGGGCGAAAGGAGCCCACGCTGTCATAAAGGACCGCGACCAGGTGCTGGACTCGGTCATCGCGCACTGCCCCGACAGCCTGCCGCCCCCTGTTGTTGGCCAGCAAGCCCTGGGCCAGATCCTCATAGAGTGGAAGGCCCGATGGAAAGGAGCCGACGGGCAGCACAAGACCAGACCAGCCGACTGGATCTGCTCCATGGAGCTGCCCCCGATCACGGCGGACGACATCCTCGGGGCGGCGAAGTCGTTCCCGAAGCAGACCGCTCTGGGCTGGGATGCGTTCCACCCGCGGCTGGTCCTCTCCCTGGGCAGGCCCTTCGCCGAGAGGATGGCAGAGGTGCCCACGGCTTGGGAGCAGCAGCCGCAGCCCACAGCCCTCTTCACCACGGTGATAGTCTTCCTGGGGAAGCCAGACGGAGGCCGCCGCCCGATCGGCCTCATGAGCATGTGGATGCGCATCTGGAGCAGGGTGCGCCGCCGCTACTGCGCCAAGTGGGAGGCGGACCACCCGCTCCCCGAGGTCTGGGGCAAGGACGCGAACACCAGCTGTGACAGGGCGGCCTACCTCCACAACCTGGGGCTCGCGCTCGCCCGCCAGCTCGGCTTCGAGGCAGCCTCCGTCTACTTCGACATCAGCAAGTTCTACGAGCGGATCGACCACGACCTTCTGCGCCAGGCCGCGGAGGGCAGCGGCTTCAGCGTCGGCCTGCTCAGGGCCCTCTGCGTAGTCTACGCTGGGCCGCGCCGAGCCTCGGCGGACGCCGCCATCAGCGAGCCCATTGAGGTCAGCGGCACCATCATCGCGGGCTGCTCCTGCGCGACGACGCTGGCCAGGCTCATGCTGCACGGCCTCCTGCTCCAGGCCAGGGCGCTGCTGCCCGTCGGCAGGGTCGCCAACGTCATCGACGACATAGCAGGCCACGGCATCGGGTCGGCGGCGACGCTCAGCCGTGCGATCACGAACTTCGTCAGTGGCGTGGTCAAGATGCTGGCGGACAGGCGGCTGCCCATCAACTGGACGAAGACGAAGGTCTTGGC